AAAAAAAAAAAAAAAACTAAAAAAAACCACATACATCAGAGGCTCATTAAATTACATAGTAATAAGGTTGAACAAAAATTTAACTATATGACTATAATCAGTGTTTTTAATGGCCTTCTAAGTTACAAGGTGGTGCAGAGCTTCTGACCCATTGCTTAATCAGCTTCTCCTATATAATTAAAGGGCACTAGGTGGCCTTGATTAAAATTCTGAGACTAAATTCCTAGAGGGAGCAAGAAATGTCTCGTAAAGAAATGACATTCATTCTTTGAATAGCACAATATGAATGCTGGAGCAAGACTGCATCATGAAAATGTAAATGATAGTTATGTCCCCAGGTTCAAAACTCTCTGAATGGTCTCAACTGCTAAATGCTAACATGACAGATATAATTTTCACCCAGGTGCACAAAGTCACTCGCTATCCTGTATGTGGAGGAAAAAGAAACCTGTCACCATATATCTCTGTAGCCTGCTGTGACAAATCTTGTTTGGGTGGGATGAATGTCTAAACCTTGTTATCTAAGTAAGAGACTTAAGTAATAAGAAAAGAAAGAAGGACAACAGAGATTATTCCCCAAATAGTAACAGAACCAAAAGATTAGTAAGAGGATCAATGCTTCCCTCTCTGCAAAACTAAAGTCATTTCAATATTTGAGAAAGGCTGGACTGAGAGCTCTGGAAACTGAAGGCATAAAACCTGAAACCAATAAGTATAACCACACCAGGCTCATCTAGGGGTCCTGCCCTCCGTGTAGAGCTTGATATATGGCTTGAAAATGATTCAAATAAAGCCTTCCCTGTAACGAGCAACTGCAGTTAAGACAACCAATTCATTTCACACAATCCCCTCCTCAAATTCCAAATCAATGTGAAAGTTAGAGACTTTCAAGTACAACTGTTATGAGACACACCTAGAAATAAAAGATGTCAACTAGCTCATTGCAATTCTGGGCCAACTAGTTAATGGTAAAATAGTGAAGACAGTCTCAAAAAATTCAAGTCAGTTTTTATGGAGTTCTGATGATCTAAGAAGGGTATATCAGTAAAATACCTTCAAGTAACAGTAGTTTAAAAAATGTTCCTCAAAACAAGAGCAATTCGTTTGTTCCCCTTCCCCCAATTCCCCAGCACTGTTCCCATCCCAATTCCCCAATAAAAATCTTTAAAAAAAAAAGTTCCTTTAAGCCAAAAGGACTTTTTATTGATCATTTATCTAGTTTACAGCATTCTGAAAGGTTAAAAGTATTCCGAATGCCCTGAAAGACAGAAATGGGAAAATGTCCAATGAAATTTTACCAGCACTTATTTATTCACATTTCTAGAGCAACGAACTGTAACTTAAAAAAAACAACAAAAAAACGGGAGGTTAGTGGGACATTTTCCCCTAGCCTTTCGCATTTCTTAACTTCCTTCCTCTTTTTGTTCCTGTAATTTCTTTTAATGTTCCAAAGCCATCAAAAAATTACTGCTGTATCTTTCCATAAGATTTGCCCTGGGTTCACATAATGCCGGCTGGCACCAAAAATAGTGATTGAAAGTTATTTTGCTTTACTGTTTAATTAAAGCAAATTGGGTATGAATACTAGACCAAGCATTAAAAGACCTGATTTCTACAGTGGCCCCATTCTCTTCTCAAATTTTCTTCTTGGTGCTAGATTAATGAAATCCTATTTATAAAGATATTAAGCACAAAGAATAGAAAGCAAAATTATTCTTTTTCATTCTGAAAAGAAAAAACACATGCCACTTTAAAGCACACATCCAATGAGAGATCCTGCACACTTCATCACTGTTTAACCAAGACAGCAACAGCAATATTCGTTTGTACCAGAACAAGTTGGAACAGAAACCGAAGAGCCAAAGGCTGTGTGGTTTAGGAGCCATGGGACAATTACACTCTTCTTCCATTAACAATGAAAGAAATGCACTTATCCCCGGCACATCCAACTGTGCCCCATTACGAAAGCTGAAAGTTTCCCCAAATCATCTCACTAGAACAAACAAAATCTAAGATGGTCTAAGCTAACTATGACAACCTTAGCAGTGCCTCCGTTAAAGCAAACAGAATACTTAAACACTAAGCAAAAAAATTAACCTGGACCCAGAATATTAAATAAAATATAAACATGACGAGCTATCAAAACACTACAGAACTACTGTACAACCAAGATATAGTTGAATAGCATTTTATTTGCCTCCCTATCAAGGTAACATTTTAAAATCCTTGAAATGGACAACTCGAGCAAATTTAAGTACATGACTGAATTCAAGCATGAACTGAGCAGTGAGTGAAGTGTTAAATGAGGGCCTTTACAACACTGAAGAAGGTCAAAAAAGGCAACTTAAGTGTTCTGACTGGCCTGCATTCTAAGTTTCTGAAATTTCCAAGCAGGTTAACCCAGAAAAGTATCTCTTTAGGAGCTGGATTACAACCAAGAACATTTCAACTGCCTCTGGGGTTTCAGAGAGCCCCAGGAGAAGGAAAAGGAATGACTACTGGGCCTGGTCATTGATGGTCTAATCTTTTTTCCATAGTGCTTAGTGACTACTGACTCAAATGCTTACCCCTTTCATTTCCTACCTTGTTTTCAGCTCCTGCAAATGGGAGATCTACTAAAGAATCCAGGACATATATCCATAAACACACATAAGTAAGCCAAAGGATGTCATCTACCACCTAGGCTTCAACACCACTGAACTCCCAGCCCGACTCTTTTGCACCCAGTACCCCTTTTCTGATATATCTCCTCTTCTCCAAACAGATCTGACTGGGAATTTCCCCTCAAACTTCACCACTGTGGAACATGGGTATTTCATCAACAAAAACAGAATGAAACTTCAAACAGTTAATTGGCAATTTCTCAATTTAAAAGTTTCTTTTATTTCTCACACCTGAGACTGTTTCACTAGAACAAATGGACAACTAGCAAAAGAATACTAACAGAAGCTAGGCAAATTACCTATCATGCTTTGCTACCTTAACTTTTTTGTAAATAAGGTTGTGGTTATGATTTTAAGTTGCATCTATCCAACAGTCATCTGTCCTGCTAGAAAAAGTGTTACAAGTTCTTAAGATAAATTTGCATTTTACCCACAACTCAGTGTTGCACAAATAGGGACCTGGCATCTGGGTGCTACACCTCTAAAGAGTCATAGTGTTAACTTTACTGAAGTATTCCCATTTTTAACTGAACCACATTTAAAAGTATTCCCACTTTAAATGAGGAATAACAAGAGAAATATCTAGAATAAACAGACTTGTGTGGGATTTATCAGAGGAGGAGACTATCCTACGTTCCTGAAATCAGTTTCAGGGTTCAGTGGGGAGAGAGAGAGAAGAGCGGGTGCAATTTAAGAACAGCTGTTAAAAAAAAAATACAGTGACAATGCTAGAACTGAAGCAAGGCTACCCCACGAGATTACCTGAAAACTGTTAAGGGCTCAAATTTCAAACCACAGATTAATAAATTCAATCAATGGTACTGCACTTTTCACACACAAATTTTGATAATGACAGCATGATTTTCAGAGCCTAATGAAACAGTACTCCCAAAGTCCTAGTTAAAGTTGCAAAAACACTGACCTAATTCTTACAGGTGACAGTGTCTGGACTGCTGGTTTGTCAGAGGACAAAATCCCCTCCAGCCTCATCATTCTGCCACAAGAGTCACAATGGCGAGAGAGCTGTCCTGGCATCTCTGACCAAGACCCACTTGGAATGAAGTCATTTTGTAAACTGTAAGACTATCCTCTTAGATCAACTCTGAAACTTGAATTGGCACCTTTCTGGGATGTGTTAAAGATTACATGAATATGCCTTCAATAGCTCCTTTATTTTTAAAAATGTTTCTTTAGGGTCCTCCCCATTCAAAGTCTCCCTCCTACACTAACCTACACGTTCAGTTATTTCCAGCTCGACAAATCAAATTAACACATAAAAGCAATAAAAAACGCGGCTTACTAAAACAGGATCCAGCTACTGCATCGCCGCTTCAAGGTCCATCGGGCGCGGCCCTAGGTCCAAGGTCCCCCCGTCCCCACCTGAGCCGCGCCACCCAGAGAACACAGCGACCTCGCCACCGGACCCACCTCTGCAGCTCCTCCTCCTGGATCCGCTCCTCCTCCCACACGAACACGCCGGCGAGCGCAGCCATCACCGCCGAGGCATGGCCTGCGCGGCCACGCAGCCGGCGCCACAGGCGGCCAAGGAGGACGCGGCGCGCGCTGTCCGAGTAGAGACGGCCGTAGAGCTGCGCGATCTGCTGCGCGCGCCGCACGCGCAGGCCCGTCACGAAGCGGCACTGATTGGCCAAGAGGGCGAGCAGGCCCCCGCCCCGCGACCCCGCGCGCGCCGCCGCCGCCGCCGCGCTCGCCAGCTTCCGCGGGAACATGTCGCTTGCCGCGCGCCCGGAGAAGAGGAACGAGCCCGGGATGGCGCCGCGACCTCCGCCGATTCCCCTAGTGGGCCGACACCGTCATGTCTTTCTGCAGCAGCCGCTGAGGAGGTGGCCCCCGACCGCTGCAGGAGGCGCTCCTGAGCTCGTGCTGCGAACCTGATGGGCGGTGGGCACCAGCCTTCTCTGTGTCTTCACGCGGTACGGAGCGCGCGGGAAGCAGCAAACCAGGCGGCTAGGTCCGGAGCGTTCGGCATCCTCCACACACGCTGCTTGCTTCCCCTCTCCCGCGCCCGCAACCTACTTCTGTGGCTGTCGCCCGAGCCGTGATTGGGCGCCGCCCAGGCTCCTCGCTGCTGATTGGTCCCGCCAAGTTCTCGTCTCCGCTCCTTCCCGCCCCTCCGCGCACGCGCCGGTGTTCCTCGCTCGCAAGGTAGGTGGCGCGGCGGCGAGAGCCAGTCAAGGGCGCTCCGGAGAGTTGCCGCCATCTTTGGGCTGCCCGCCCCCGCCCCACGGAGGAAGGGGCGCGACTAGGTGTCTTCGGATTCCTGCGCGGTGCTAGGTTCTGAGGGGCAGGGGAACGTCGCCTCAGTTTGAGCCTAGGGTGGGGCAGGGCCTCGTCATTGCCTCTACGGGGCGCTGGGGGTACCCAGTGACGGGGTGGTAGGGGGGAGGGGAAGACGGTGTAGACACCTTTGATGAATGGAGACCCTGCTGAGGCTTGATGGCAGCTGCAACCGCACCTTCCTCGGCCTCCCTGACTGGCCCTCCCGGAGGCGTCCCTAATCCGGGTCCCGACAAGGTACCCAGGGTCGGAGTCTGCGCACTTGTCTTTTGCCTGCGAATCTCGCCACGCGGGAGCAGTCCGGGAGGACGTCCTTACAGCCCAAGACATTTTCCGGAGAGTGTCGTGGGAAGTTGGCCCGTCGCAATCTGGAAATGCTGTAGTCCTTTGGAGTTACTAGGGGCACATGCCCCAGGCCGGGGAGTAGCTGCCCCCCTCTCTGTGACCCAAAGGTACCAGCGTGAAAAGGTAAACAGGTTTCCTAAAACCTACTTTGCAACACCCATGAACAGCCTGGCTAAATGCTCTTGAAGGGTATTCAATGACTGTGCAGTCCCCAGCCTCATGAAAATGAAGCTGCTGGGTGTCCAATAGGAAAACCTTACACTAAATGGTTTCTATTTTCTTAGGCTTATATTAAGTATTTTATTGACAAACAGGAAAAAAATATTGTAGAAGGATGTCTTGATGTGAAAGACGCTGTGCTCGTTCTAAGGCAATGCATTAGAAATTTTACTGTAAGTAGTTGCACAGTTTTAGATGTGGTTTTTTAAAAGATTTTATTGGGGAATTGGGGGAGGGGAACAGACAAGTTGCTGTCCTTTTGTTCTTCAGTCTAGTTGTGGAGGATGTCGCTTCACTGGCCCATGTTGGTATTATCACTGCGCTCTTCCGAAAGTTCACGCGGCTGCCCACCAACCCCACTGCCGCCTAAACCATTGCCTGCGACTCGCCGCCTAAACCATTGCCTGCGACTCACTGCAGCCCAGCTCCAGATCCAGCTGTTGTTCGCCATCTTAGCTGTAGAGGGCGCAGCATCACTGCCTTCATGTGGGATCCAAACTGGGGTCCTGCTGCTCAGAGCTGGCGTCCTAAGCCAACTCCTAACCAACGTGCCACTCGGCCGGCCCAGTTTTAGATGTTCTTATGAAAAGATGTTTTTCCAAAAAGAAAGAGAAAATCACGCTTTATTGGCCGCTGAAATTTAGGTCTGTCCTACCCAGGCTGTCTGATTTTACTCAGGATTGGTATTGATGTTTATTTTCCCTTAAAAGCAGGTGAGGAGAAATGGATATTTAACAGAAAACAGTATTTGACGTTTTGTTGACCCTGGCTTTTCTCAGTGATGGTAACATGGCTGGGAGGGGCAGTGGGCGGAGAGTTGAACTTTCCTACTGCCCTGCTTCTCTTGATTAAAAGGTTTGGTTTTTTGTTTTGTGTATATTTTTGTTTTGTTTATCAGAATGAGTTCTCAGCCATTCCAGCTGAGCCCCTCTAATACAGTCTCTATCTAAACACAATCAAGTCCATCTTCAAAAAGCTTTGAAAAAAAGATAGGCATTAACTCTTCCTCTTTTCAGACACCACTCCCTTCTTCCTTTCACAGCTATGACTTTGTTTTTAAAGGAACGGCATAAATGTTCTTGCTATCTTCATTTCTGCACCTACCTATCAATTCTCCCTCTTTAGAATTAAATCAATTTGTTCTAGACCATTCTCTCTATGACTTTTGTTCAGGCCCTAATTTGACTCTCTAGCTTAACCTCCCTTCCAAGCCATTATTAACAAACTTTTTGCATGTGTATCCCAGAAGAAGGTTGAAAAACTTTATTCCCTTTGTATATTCTTAATTTGGGCCAAAATTGTTCATCGTGAGCTCATCTTATAACTTAGGTTCTACATATCAGATCACTAATACATAAAGTTAAGTGGGCACAGGAGTAATCCACGGTAAGATAAAGTGGTACATCCAAAATTGGGCATGAGCGGAGCTGGAGGCACAGGTAAGCTACGCAAGCAGATGGACTAGACATCTGTGTCACCTACCATTTTGCACTGAGCCTCTCCCTCAGCTCACACCTATGGCTGCATAGGAGGTGGGGTCCCTTTATGACCAGCTGACAAAGAAGGGCAAAAGCCAAGTTTGATTCGCTGATAGGTCAGAATGGTATGTGGGTGCCAGCCCAAAATGAATGGCGGCTGCACTATAGCCCCATGCTGGGGTCATCTTGAGAGACACTGGCCAGGGACATTCCCAGTGGATGGATCCTCAGTGGTGCACCTGGTCATTCACTTGGGGTGGACAGACACGTATCCAGGTTAGAGTATGTAGACTTCATGGCACTGGCAGTTGACTTAACCGGTTGATCAGGGCCTGGGAGGAGCAAGATCAAGGACAAGGAGGTCTGGGATAGAGGCATACGGATGGGCTGTGTGGGTGGGCAAGAAGTGTGGGGGATGCCCATCAGAGAACAGCGACAGGAAAGATCCTGAGCAACGAAGTAGATTGACAACAGTTGATGTCAGCCAGGTGTTGTCAGCCACCTTTTCTGCCTATAGTGCCTCAGCCAGCACCACGATAGAGTGTTTACTGAGTGTCTGGCCCATTGACATAGGATCCCACATAACGTCACATGACAGTGGCACATGACCATGGATCCACTAGCCCTATCATTCTGTATCATCCAGAAGATGCCAAACTAAACAGAGAAAAGGAATGGACTGTGAAGGCACAGCTGAAGTGCCAGCATAGAGGTGCCACCAACTAAGGATGGGGCCATCTTCCAGGACACAGTATACATTCCGTCAACAGTCACTATAGTGCTGCATCCCAACAGGAAGAATGGATAGGTCCAAGGACCAAGGGGTGAAATAGGAATGGCTCCTCTTACCATTAATCCCAGTGATCCCACTGAAGGTATTTCTGTCACCACAGCTGAGCTTTGAGGGTTTTGAGGCCCAGGTTCCCAAAGAGGAAATATTTCCATCAGAAAAGACAGCAAAAGTCCCATTGAACTTTAGTTTACGCTTGCCACCAGGCACTTTGAACTCCTCATGCCAAGAAACCAGCAGGCAAGAAGCAGGAGGCACCGTCCTGGCAGCATGATTGACCCAGGTCATGGGGAATAGCCAGGGCTGTGGTTATGTAATGGAGCAAAAAAGAAGATGTTTGGTACCCAGATAATACAGGTGCAGAGGAGCTAGCCCGTGGGAGCTGGGGGAGGATCTTAGGGTACAGAGTGGCACAACCGTGTGCAATCAAGTCAGGACCCAAGTACCAGGATAGAGGAACTGCGTATAGCAACCCAGGCCGGGAGGCAAGTAAGAGGGCAGTCATGAGATAAGGGTAGGGCCACCGTGGGGTGATGAGAAACTGCATGTAAGAATGTTGGCCTGAATCCTCAAATCCCTCCTGCCTAGGACCTCGGTAGACCCAACTTAGATGCCACCTAGAAATCTATGGAAACCTGACCCATTTCCTTCTGCGTGCAGGGAGCTCCACTAGGGGTACAAGTCCTGTATTCTCACTACCCCTTTATTTACTTGGCCTCAGGAAACAAAGATGACCACACTGGAGTTGGGGGCAGAGAACTGTTCATGCGTGGGCCAGCTCCTTCTTCTTGGGGTGAGCTACCTAGGATACAGAATCCCACTGCTCTGAGGTGGGCTCTATGCCGACAGGATCGGGTGGGGGTGGGGGTCAGCCTCATTATGGGCTTGGTATTAGCAAACAATGACAGCGCCTCCTGTGATGAGCGTGCTGATAGGGCTGGAGACACCAATGTCAGGAGCACTGACAGGAGCCCAGCCCTGTGTGGGAGGTGACAGATGAGCATGAGAGTTGGCCTCAAGCCCAGCGTCCTCCATTTCTGGGACACCTTAGTGACTCAGGTGCTCAGCATCCATCCCCCTCCCTTTAGTAAAAGTACTTTGGTTTCCTCCACCATTCCCTCCTCTCATGCGTGTGGGTAGACAAGTGACCCTAGGCCTGGCCAGTCAGAACACGGAATCCTGGCTGCGGGGGCACACTCAGGAACAAGGTCCATCTCAAGTTGGTAAAATCAGGATGACCCCTGGGACATTGGTGAACTGAAAGGAAAGAGCTTGGTTTTCTGTTGAACTTGGTGCTCTGAGGAGGGCTAGAGGCTAAGCAGCTCTCTCACTGCCACCAGGGGAGAGCCTGGCTGGGAAGTGCAGCAGCATACACCTCAGTGCTGGGAGGTGGGGACATTCAGCTCCCACTTACAGCACCAGGCCACATATCTAGGAGGTGGCAGTGTCCTCACATCAGTGCTGGGTGGTGGGGACAATCAGCTTCCACCTATAGCACAAGGCCACACAGTAAGGAGGTGGCGGTGGAGGACTGAGCGCTCATCTGTGGAGGCTCCTAAGCCTGCCAGGTTAGCCACCTTCTCATAAGACAGGGTGGTGGTGCCTCAGCCTGTGTCCCTTCACAGAACAATGGTCCACAACTATAGCTACTGATCATTCTATAACGTGATGCTGGGCCTGGGCGACTCCCCCTCCTGGCTGCTGGTCAGCTGCGTCCAGGGAAGAGCTGGTCTTGCTCCTCCCAGGAGCTATCTGGAGGCCAAGCATCAGTGTCACAGCTCACACTCCACACATGTTCAGAGCTTATCTCCCCATAGAGGTTGCAAATAAGAGTAGGAAAATCATTTCGCCAGGGGATAGAGAGCAAGTTAAGGCTTCAAAATACCGGCACATTATGTCAGAACCTTTGAGGTATAATGGAGGACACTGACGGTAGTGGAATCCTATCTGAACAATTGAAAGTTTAATTTCTGGAGGCATGGCTCTGAAATTTTTGAGAAAGAACACATCAGAATTAATGGTTTTAGTTGGGAACTTCGTTAGTTAAGAATTGAAATACTTGGCCGGCCGAGTGGCGCAATAGTTAAGAACTCGCTTGGGACGCCAGAGGACCCCGGTTCGGATCCCACATATGAGGGCCAGTAACACTGCCCTCTACAGCTAAGATGCTGAACAACAGCTCAACCTGGAGCTGGGCTGCTGTGAGTTGTGGCTTCCTAGGATGCAGCCCCTGCTGCAGTGGGTTGCCATGGGCTACCGTGTGTAGCCAGCAGCCAGCGTGAGCGGCCAGCGGCCGCAGTGAGTGGCCATCCAGAAGCCGGCGACTGATCTGCCTCGCCCGGGAAGAGCACAATGACGGTGCCAACTTGGGCCAGTGAAGCAACGTCCTCCACAACTAGACTGAAGAACAAAAGGACAGCAACTTGTCTGTTCCCCTTCTCCCAATTCCCCAGCACTGTTCCCATCCCCCCAATTCCCCAATAAAAATCTTTAAAAAAAAAAAAAAAAGAATTGAAATACTCCAAAATCAAAGCTGTTTCTGTGGAGCAAGTTAGTTTTGGTTTCATTTCTGACCCATGTTCTTTCATTCACTCGTCCATTAATTATACAACCGGTGCCTTCTCCTTGTTGCCATGGCAGCTCCGAGCCCCTTTGAGCTTCACGTTCCCCTAATGTGGACATATTGGAAATGTGTCTCTATGGGCCCTTCCAGCTCTTTTCTACCTCATTTTCTAGAGTCTCAGCAAAGATACAGGCACCATTCAGGAACAGATTGATGCAGCAGTTTTGTCATAAAATGCACATCCAGGCCATCCTGCCACCTACTGCCTGGCCGAATGGGCCCTCTAGATTTCAGGTGGCTGTGGGACAGGCATGTCCTATATGGATCACTGTCTCAACAACCTTGTGTTAGCTTTGCTCGTGTCCTGATTGCAGGCCACAGGGAGAGGAAGCTGTAGCAGGCCATCAGGTAAAGTCTCCTGTTGAAGCATACACGGGTTGAACACCAGGATACAAGGACCCCTGAGATGTCCCTGCCTCCCTTCCTCCATACTCCGTGCCCTGGGAGACCTTCCACCTGGGAGAGCAGGAGACCTAGCACCCTGTCAGCCTGGCTATCTGCCCCTGAGGCCTTGTGTCCTTGTCCTTCTAAATGGCACCTCTCTTTTTCCTGGAAGTCAGCTGAAGTTCTGCTAGCTGATTTCTCCATTCCCTGTGTGCTTGCAACTCCATTCTCATTCCACGTTGCAGGCCTGATGCCACCCAAAATGGGGTTCATCCTGTTGCTTACCACAAGCTCTCTGCCACCCACTCTTGTCCCCTCAAGGTCCATACTGTCTGCTCCTGCCCTCCCTCACCCCCGTGACTCTGCTGTACATTTACTGGGAAGCCCACGTTAGCCATGGCCTGTCTGTGGACATTGAGCACTGATCGGCACTGAGTTCATCTGTGTTCCCAACACTGAAGGTAGCCAGTTCTGTGGACAACCTCACATCCTGCCAGTTACCCTCATGTTCCCAGGAGTCCCGGTCCAGCTCCTTCTTCCACACCTCACACCTTCCAGGGTGCTTTTCCAACAACTTCTGAGAAGAACACCCAAACTGCCCCCTCCTCCAGTCTGTCTGCTCCGATTCTATCCTAGGTTCCAGTGTCTCAGGTGGGTCCAGAACAAGGTGGCTCCTGCTACAGGCCCTGATGAACCCCAGCCTGGTCATACTCAGAAAATCGAAACCAATGCACGCTTCCTGGGAGTTCACCCAGATTCTGCACACACGATTGGGAGCTGACGCTTGCCTCCAACCTCTGCTCAAGGCCATTCCAGGATGGCTGCCCTGGAGAGAAGGTACAGACCACCCAGGAGTTGTCCCCAGTAATGTGATGGGATGACACAACAGAAGGCAGACAGTACTGGTACCTTTGGCTGGCCATGAGCTGAGCTCTGCTGGGCTGAGTGATCGAGTTTCAGGTCTCTTTCACTCCCTAGGCAAAAAGATCAAGACTAATTAAGTGTTTTGCTCATCAAATTTGTCCAGTAACAATTTCCAGTAGCCACAGTTAGAAGCAGCTTTTGGGAGGTGCACGCTCAGAAGTACTCAGTTTGGCTACAGGGCAGAGCTTTGTCTTACTGGGAAAGGGGGTAAATTGTCTAATCAGGGCCTTTTAGACTGTGATGCTGTTTTTCTCCGGAAGGAAGTATGGACTCTATCTAACAACATCTCGTTGCTTTCTCCTTTCCAGGTCTTATGTTGGGTGAAATGGAATGAAATTCATGATCCTAGCTTCCAATATGGCAAGGCAAGCAGGAACACAATGAGCTCTCTTTCCCAAGGCCACTGGGATAGGGAACAGATCAGAACTGACCTGGCCTTGACCACACAGAAGACACACAATCTCTCAGTCAGGGTCGGGTCACCTGGGAATATACCCCATCTGAAGAAGCAGAAATGGGGTGGACAAGACTTTCGATGTGGGGGACAAGAAGAGCAAAGGTGTGTGAGCAGGAAAGCCCCAGGCATGTTTGAAGACAGTGAGCCATCTGCTGTGTGGGGTCAGAGTGTTGGACACTGGTTAGACTGCTCCACGGAGGCCAACATGCCAGGCTGGAAGGCCCAAATTCTTCACATTCAAGCAGAAGGTCTTTGATGGCCTGGGACCTGTTCAAAGTCTGACCATTCAAAGTCACACACAAAGCCTGTTAAAGAGCTATGAGGACCCACAAACAAGGTGATGGAAGTCCTGTCTACCTCAGGAATTCCTGAGCCATTGAAATTGAGTAATCATTATTGAGCACCTACTATAAACCCAGTCCTGTTGCTAGGTGTGGTTGTCAGATTTATCTCTCTTAATCTGTACAACTAATCTTTGTCATTCTGCTTTTAGAAACTGAGGAAACTGGGCCTCAGAGTGTTGGGATCCTTACACCTCCAATTTCTAGCTGTGTGACATCAGCCATATTACTCTGCCTTTCAGTGCTTCCCTTACCTTATATATAAACAGGGTGTAATACCCATAACATCAACATAATTTCAAGGATAAAATGATTTACTACATTGAAGCACTCAATCTCATGCCTGACATACGAATATACTGAACTCTCAATAAATATCAGTTATTGTTTTCTGTAATGTGACACTTCATGATGACCTGATTAATGTCTTCCCACCTCTCACTATGCTCTGAGATACATAAAGACAGAGGCCTTCTCAGGTTGTACTCACCATACCCAAGTACATGCCTGTAACAGTAAGATCTTGGGATGAATAAAAGAATAAGGCTATGATGAAAGAATCTTCCAGCCATGAATTCAATTCCAAAATCAACACTAGCATCATGGACAAGTGGGACCTAGGCAGAAGGTCAGGACCACTGGGTCTGGTCCCAGCTCTGCCACCAGCGTGAGTCTCAGTTTCCCTAAATGAGAACTAGTGCTGCCATCACAGCCTGTGATCCTCACCTGCACCTGGCCAGTGCTTGCTGAGCACCCACTATATGCAGTCGCCTTGTCAGGGACACAGGACACCTAAGGAGATGAGGTCCTGCCTTCAGCATGTGACTCAGGCCTGTCTTGCAGCTCTTGCTGTGATTGTTTCCCAGCCTCTTCCCTGGAATGGCTTGTGAGCTCCCCAAGGGCAGGAATCAGGTCTCTCTCACTTCTGATGACATTATATAGTGATAAAAGGTACAATCCATCAAGAAGATGTAGCAGTTATAAGCATACATGTCTAACAGCAGAGCCCCCCCAAACATATTAAGCACAACTGACAGAATTAAAAAGAGAACTAGATAGTTACAGAGCAATAGTGGAGATTTCAATGCTCCATTTAGTAATGGATATTATGACCAGTCAATCGATAAGGAAATGGAGAACTTGAACACCACCATAACCTTCCATCTCAAACAGCAGAGTACATATTCTTCTCAAGTGTCTATGAAAAATTTCCAAGGATAGACCATACTTTAGGCCCCCAAACAAGTCTTAATCAATTTTTAAAAAATCAAATCATAAGAAAGTATGATTTCTGACTATATGGAATGGCACTAGAAATCAAGAACAGGAGGAAAGCTGGGGGGAAAAAAATCACAAAGGTGTGAAAATTAAACAACAGATCATAATACCTAACAGATGCAAGCTGAAAATATGAGGAATTCTAGAAAATACATTGAGTAAAATAAAAATGAAAGAGCAACATACCAGGACTTACGGCATGCAGTTGAAGAAACGCTTACAGAGAAACTTTAACAGTAATACCTCGGTTTGCGAGTATAATTCGTTCTGGAAACAAGCTACTCGTATTGCAAGACATCGCTCATTTACCAAGTTAAAATGTATTATTAGGTTGGTGCAAAACTTTTGCACCAACCTAATAGAAATGTTTGCTCATCTTGTGGGATACTTGCAAACTGAGTTAATCAAAATCCAAGGTTTTACTGTTGTTGTAAATGCCTACATTAAAAAGAAGATAGATCTCTGTGCCGGCCGAGTGGCGCAATGGTTAAGAACTGGCTTGGGACGCCAGAGGGCCCCGGTTCGGATCCCACATATGAGGGCCAGTGACACTGCTCTCCACAGCTAAGATGCTAAACAACAGCTCAACCTGGAGCTGGGCTGCCGGGAGGTGACGGCGAAGGAGATGGCGTAGGCTGCAGCCCCTGTGGCAGTGGGTTGCCATGGGCTACCGTATGTAGCCAGCAGCCAGCATGAGCGGCCAGCAGCCGCAGTGAGTGGCCATCCAGAAGCCGGCGACTGATCTGCCTCGCCCGGGAAGAGCGCAATGATGGTGCCAACTTGGGCCAGTGAAGCAACATCCTTCACAACTGGACTGAAGAACAAAAAATGACAGCAACTTGTCTGTTCCCCTTCCCCCAACTCCCCAGCACTGTTCCCATCCCCCCAACTCCCCAATAAAAAATCTTTAAAAAAAAGATCTCAAAAGTATGGCCTAACTTTATGCCTTCAGGAGTAGAAAAGGAAGAGTAAACTAAACACAAAGCTAGCAAAAAGAGGATAATATGAGAACACAGGTAAAACAAAGACCAACAACAAAAACAGAAAATCGAAAGTGTTTTCTGTAAAAAGATCAACAAAATTGGCAAACTTTCATCTAGATTAACTGGCAAGAAAGAGAGTGGACAACATTATTAATAACCAGAAATGAAAGTTGAATATTACTACCAACTCTACAGGAACAGATTATAAGAATATACTGTGACTTTTATTTCAACAAATTCAATAACCTAGATTACATGGACAAATTCCTAAAACTACACAAACTAATAAAGCTGATTCAAGAAGAAATCAACTTTGAATAGACTTATAAAAAGTACAGAGGTTGATTTCTTAAACAAACAAGAAAATCCTACAACAAAGACAAGCCAAGACCAGATGGCTTTGCAAGTGAATTCTACAAAATATTTATAGGAAAGTTAAACCCAAACTCTCCACCACCACTACCCTCAAAAAACTAGAAGAGGAAGAAATACTTTCTATCTCATTCTAAGAGTTCAGCATAAACTTGATAGAACAGACAAAAACGTCACAAGCAAAGAAAACTACAGGTAAATGTCCCTTATGAATGTAGATGAAAAAAACCCCTCAATATTACACTAGATAATGTAAACTATTTCTATTTGGAGATAACCTGATTTTATATATAGAAATGATTAAGTAAGTAATTCAAAAATAGAAGCCAAAAGAAATTGTTAGCGCTAATAAATGAATTCAGCAAAGTTATAGGATACAAGATCAACACTCAAATATCAATTGTCATTCAATACAAACATTGACATGAACAATTGCTATAGTTCTATAGTAATGAGTAACCTGAGAAAAACAATTATATTTGCAAGAGCATCAAAAATAATAAACACTTAAAAATGTATTTAACCAGGAGATGCTAGACTTGCAATCTATAAAATACAGAATATTTCTCAGAGATACTAAAGAGGCCATAAATAAATGAAAGGACACTCCAAGTTTATGGAGTGAAAGACTTAATAAGGTAAGATGGCAATATTCCTCATCGTAATCTATACTTTAAATACAATCACTATAAAATCCCAACAAATTTTGCTGCAGTTGGAAAAGCTAATCCTAAAATTCATATCGAATTGCAAGAAATTCCAAATAGCCACCACAATGTTGAAGAGGGGTGGGTACTAGGAAGAAAAGTACTTTCCGATTTTAAATTTTACTACAAAGCAACAGTAATGAAGCAGTTCACTTTATTGGCATAAAAATAGACAAATTGAGATCAAGGGAATAGATTGAGAGTCACATGAATTTCCACAAGGGTGTCAAGACCTTTGCATGTGGAAGAAACACTGTCTTCAACAAATGGTGCTAGGAACATTGGATATTCACATGCAAAAGAATGAATTTGAACCCTTACTTCACACCATATACAAAAACTAACAATGGAAGAAACCTAAATTTAAGAGTTAGACCTATAGGGCCGGCGAGTGGCGCGATGGTTAAGAACTGGCTTGGGACGCCAGAGTTCCCTGGTTCGGATCCCACATATCAGGGCCAGTGACACTGCCCTCTACAGCTAAGATGCTGAACAACAGCTCAACCTGGAGCTGGGCTGCCGGGAGGCAACGGCGAAGGAGATGGCGTAGGCTGCAGCCCCTGTGGCAGTGGGTTGCCATGGGCTACCGTATGTAGCCAGCAGCCAGCGTGAGCGGCCAGCAGCCAGCGTGAGCGGCCAGCAGCCGCAGTGAGCGGCCGTCCAGAAGCCGGTGACTGATCTGCCTCGCCCAGGAAGAGCGCAATGATGGTGCCAACTTGGGCCAGTGAAGCAACATCCTCCACAACTAGACTGAAGAACAAAACGACAGCAACTTGTCTGTTCCCCTTCCCCCAATTCCCCAGCGCTGTTCCCACCCCCCCAATTCCCCAATAAAAATCTTTAAAAAAAAAAGGAGAACTATAAAAAATTTCTTAAAAGAAAAAGGGGTAAACATTGTGATCTTGGATTTGGTAATGGATTCTTAGATATAACATCCAAAACTCAAGCAAGAAAAGAATGATAAATTCTTGAGACAATTTATTAAGATTTCATAAATATGATACACTTTTTGCATCAAAGGACATTATCAGTGAAAAGACAATGTATGGAATTGGGAGGAAATATTTGCAAATCATATATCTGATAAGGGTCTAATATTCAGAATACATACAGAACTCCTACCACTTGTGATGGTTCATCATATGAGTCAATTTGGCTAGGTTATAGTACCTAGTTACTAAATCAAACACATCTGCAATCAGTTGACTTTAGAAGATATTACCCTTGAAAACGTGGGTGAGTTTCAGTTGAAACATTTAAGAGCAACAATTAAAGGTTACTAGTGAAGAAGAAATTATGCCTCAGATTCAGTATAAAATCCTGTTGAATTTCTAGTCTGTGGTTCTTCTCTCTAGACTTGACACCCAATAGCCCCCACAACCACAAGAAAATTCCAAGAAATAAATCCATCCGTGTGTCTCTTTCTGTGTGTACATATACATATGCATACATGCATGCATGTATGTATATACACATGTTCATGTTATAAATATATATATGTGTGTGTGTGTGTGTGTGTGTGTTCTTTTTCTCTGGAGACCACTGACTGATACAGATTTTGGTAACTAGATGGTTCTAGAGGAACAGAATATTTTTTTTTATTGTAAGTTTCAGGTGTACAGAACAATGCAATAGTTATCCTTTTCACCCTTCACACAGAGGAACAGATCATAAAGATGTGTTTTCTCAAACGGTTCTGGTGTTTCTGGAAATGGTTTTACAATATGAATACATTTAAAGGCCCTAACAACTCTATTTCCAGTGTTAAAAAAGGCATTGACAGTCTATGGTATAATGTGACAATAGGGATCACCACTGGATATTCCTAATCAAATATTTACAAAAGGCAAGATTCTAGGTAGTCATGGGACATCACTGAAAAAGAGTGTCAACAGGAAATTTTCCCAGTGAGTAGAACTTTGAGTAATGCACCTGGTTGTTGATTGTGCTTACAAGATAAATGGCCAGAGATATGAGTCTATATCAATTCATGGATGCATGATTTGGCTGAATGTTCAAGGGCTTGTAAAGATTTGATAGGAAATTTGGTTACAAGGAGATGTAGGAAAGAAGCACATGCCCAGGCTTCTGTGAATAGGCAACAAATGTGAATCTATTTGGGACCCATAAGAATGCTCACCAAAGAGTGACCTCAGCAGATGAGGGATTTAATAATCCACTGGGTAGGATGACCTGTTCTGGGGATACTACT